TTTATATTTTGTAATTTTCATTCAAATATTTTTGACTGCCGTATTCACTGTCAAGAACTCACCTGGTGTTTGCGTAATAAGTTATAATACCAGAATGTCGACAAAGGAATTGCAATTACCATACAGATACCACATCTCTTTTTGATAATTACTGCAATAGTCGTCGTAAGTACAGCTATAAAGGTAACAAAGCATGAACATCGGACAGTTTATCCACAACTTCGAGCATAATACACATTACATTATCCGAAAATTTTCAAAATATAATGAAAATGAAACAAACATACCTAGTTTGGTTATATATATATATATATATATATATATGTGTGTGTGTGTGTGTGTGTGTGTGTGTGTGTGTGTATGTGTTTGTGTGTGTGTTTGCGCGCGCGCGCGCAAATATGCAGAAAAATAGGAAGGAACACGTTAGGTAAATAATCCGGAGTTCCTTAGTATTTTTGTTTTTATTTTTGAGAAGACAGTGCTCCATACAGAAGTAGAGCTTATAGAGTTCCTAAATTTTCGCTTGAGGATGAAACGGGACTCAACACCTTAATTCAACTTAATTTTAATAATTATATTCATGGTTTCGGCTCTCGTTTTTGAAACATGAGAACTCTTATGTAGCGAAGGAATCATATTTTTTTAAAATATTATAATATATATATATATATATATATATATATATATATATATATATAGATAGATAGATAGATAGATATGGGTAGCAAAAATATTTTTACAAATTGTGAGAGCGGGTTTCTCACACCAGAACAAAGACAAAAGTTCATATAAACATATGTCCGCAATCCTTCGTTTTTGTGTTAACAGAAATTTTACGGGAGATGGCGCTCGTGTTGCATATAGACGAGGTTACACGTGTTATTCGTGTATATTTGTTGCTAGTCTGTCCTCAAAGTTTAACGCGTGTAGTTGTGAGTGAGAACTGTTCCGTTTAACTATGACAGGATATTTATATCGCAAGCAGACCGAGATCCGCTGGTACACCTGCCTACGAACAATATATTCTACAGGTTATCAGAGACGATCCAGATATCAGCACACTTCATGTGGCTTTAGCATGTCATACATCTTATAGTACCGTAGTCAAGTCACTGGATTATTTCAACCAACGATTTTATCCCCAAGGTCACTGTTGTGTGTTCAATATCTGGTTACAGCATAGGTGAACAAAAAATTTGGGAGATGATTTTCAAAAAGGAAAGTTATTCAGAAAAGTCATGATATGTAGAACTAGAAATATCTATTCTGGTGGATAATAAAGGGTTTGACTCGATATTCCAACGAATATCACCTGAAGAAAGCCGGAACATACAATGGCCGAAACATCGTGAATATATAAAAATGAGTACAAAAGTTTGCACAATATAAATAATGCAAATAGTTGTAATATCTCATCTCAGAAATATAGACAGTGAGTATTTCTGACGATTATCATTCATTAGAATTTCCTTTACGCACGGCATTAAACATATTTTAAAAATGTTTTTGATATCTTTATGTAATAGTGTGTGTTATGAATAATCAAAAGTGGTCTCTTTATGCTTTGTTAGTCTCCTCTTTGAGAGAAGTATTTATGTTTAATGTGTCTACAAAAGTATACTTTACGCGAATCTTGTATTCTCAGTTGAATAAAGCTTTCTTAAAGCGTACTTTGTCATTATATTGGGATCATATACTTAATATAAATACAGTATCAAATCTATCCCTAAATGTTTAAAGAATTATCTTTACTTTTGTTATTTAGAAATGTGAAGATTTAACTAGTGTTATAATTTAATAGCTTCATACTACTGATGCTGTTTTTTTAACTCTAGTTGTAAAACGACGCAGTTATCAAGGACTTAAGCCCATTTTTAGATTTCAAAGTGCAGATAACTCTTTAAAAATTATCTGGATATATAACTCTTTAAAAATCCAATGGACTTATATCCCTCACTTCTAAAATTCTAAAGACAAATGATATGGGTAGACGACCTTTTTAGAAATCCTAACGTATAATTTTTTTTTTCATTTTAAATTCTTCCCTTTTGTTGCGTTTAGATCAGCTTTGGCCATAAAGTATTTCTATCTGTTTGACAATTTATACCTTTAAATTACGACAGCTTTAACGGTTTTAAAGTACTTAACAGTAGTTATGCATTCCAGTAAGGTGTTTTAAAATAATATTAAAAAATATAAACTACTGCGATAGAAATTACAAATATTTTATCTTGATTGCGACTGAAATCTGTTCATTACTGAGAAGTCATTAATATCAATTAAATAGAATGCTTTTCCAAGTCGGCTTCCCGCTTAGATATGATCAGCACGTAGTAAAAAGAATAAAATAGTTCATTGCAAACCGGGGAAAACATTTGTTAAAGCAAGTTATCTTCACTAATCAATTTTGATGGCAAGTTTCTTTGAATTATTGTTTTAACACATTTGAGAATGAGATGCGCGGTTCCACTTGTGTCAGAAATGACAGGCGAATCAGAAATTAGAAGGAGAGGAGACCAACTGCAAGCGAAAAGACGAAAGGAATATTTTCACAACTAAAAATTATACGTATTATTTGATCAACCTTTAGAAACATGTATGTTTTCCTTTTGATCACAGACATAATGATGACGCGTGAAAATCTCCATAAAATTATGCAAATGTGAAGAAAAATGCAAATGTATTTATCACTGTTATAGAAACAGGATTCCATATTGCGTGTTTCATGATAGATAGATAGATAGATAGATAGATAGATAGATAGATAGATAGATAGATAGATAGATAGATATGGAAAACTGGGATATTTTAGATAGATAGATAGATAGATAGATAGATTGAGATAGATCGATTGAAATAGTTTAAAAGACTCAGATAGATAGATAGATAGATAGATAGATAGATAGATAGATAGATAGATAGATAGATAGACTGAGATAGATCGATTGAAATAGTTTAAAAGACTCAGATAGATAGATAGATAGACTGAGATAGATCGATTGAAATAGTTTAAAAGACTCAGATAGATAGATAGATAGATAGATAGATCTCGCTAAACAGACTTTAGATAGATAGATAGATAGATAGATAGATAGATAGATAGATATTAAGAAACTGATTTTAAATTCTGTGTATTGGTTATGAACTAGACACGATGAGAGACGAGTATATGCAAGAATATATCAAGTGGTAAAGACAGGTTTACGAAAATATATTTCAAATGATTTTAATTTCACACGCGCATTTTTGAAGAGATATTGATAGCAAATGACGCGAGTATATATAGATAGATGCAACCAGACATAGATAGATAGATAGATAGATAGATAGATAGATAGATAGATAGATAGATAGATAGATAGATAGATAGATAGGGAAAAGAAAACATTAAGAAACAGTGATTTTAATATGAAATTCCCTATTGACGAAATAGCTGTAAAATAGATGAGTAAATATAGATATATACTTGGATAAGAATCCCTATCTATCTAGCTATGTAACTAACTAGATAGATAGATAGATAGATAGATAGATAGATAGATAGATAGATAGATAGATAGATATGGAAAACTGGGATAGTTTTGAAAGATAAATAGATTTGAAAAACAGGATTAGACCGATTAGATCGATAGATAGACGTAAATAATTTTAAGGAGCGATAACCTTTATTTGGAACCAATTGTTGACATAATATATAATTAGGCGAATATATATATATATATAATATATATACATAACCAAATGTAAAAGAATATATATATATATATATATATATATAACCAAATGTAAAAGAATATATATATATATATATATATATATATATATATTTATATATATATATATATATATATATTTATATAAAACCAAATGTAAAAGTATATATATATATATATATATATATAAACAAATGTAAAAGAATATATATATATATATATATATATATATATAAACCAAATATAAAATAACGAAGAGGAAGATTTCAGCGTTCAAACATTAATTTAAAACATGGCGCAATACAAAATTAGAGAATAAATATTTATTTTTTAACATTGAAACATAATGCACATTTTTGTAGTCGGTATGAACATATTCTAATATAACATTGCATAATATATATATATATATATATATATATATATATTAGTGTGAGTGTGTGTAGTTAAACATGACAGTTTCTAGCTTATTAGATTGATAGATATAGAGATACATAGATAGAGACAAACGTATTGAGAAACTTGAAGTAAAAACAAAAAAAACACAAGAGATTAATATGTGGTAGTTGATAACCTAGATAAATGCGGTAATCTATGAATAAATGCAGGCTGAACGCTTGCTTGATACCAACATAAATCTGGCCGCCATTCTAAATGCTGTTCAAGATGAGATTTTCCTCTAAACGAGAGACTATTTTAAAGTTTCGCTTTTGTCAGTTATATGTTTTCTCTTATGAACCTTTGCGAATTATTCCACCATTTAATGCGAATAATATTCCCAACCATGCTGGTTTTATTACTTTGTTTAGGAACGTGATCTCCAAAGAATTCTAAATAATACATGAACCGAAAAGCGTGATGGATGAGAGTATTCATCTTAACGTGGAATAACGGTAATGATCCATTTCAATGTTTAAAACAATACGCAATTATTGGGAAAGGTTTAAACTGAGCAAGAATATTGATATACATTCTATAGGAAATACAGTTTACGTTTTTCTAGCAAAATTTAGCAGTGCTCTACTTAAGTTTAATAAATATGAATTTGGGCATCTTTGAAAATGGGTAAAAATACAGACATATATTTTTTTCTTTTTTTGAAATTTATATAATTTATTATTCTGTCAATAGAGTAGTGCCTCAAGGTATTCCTTAGAGCATCAACCATACTTTTCTGTTCAATAAAAAAAAAAAAAACGTACATTTTGAATGAAAACAATTACTCAAAATACGCTTGGGAAAGATATGAATGTCTCCAGCTATGGGTTAAATAGTAAGACTTGTATTTTGAGAAATCATCGATATTTTAAAAATAAAAGAATGAAATGTTCACAAAAGGTATTATTCTTACAAACTAAAATATGTATCCAATTTAAATAACCCCAAATTCTTGACAACCCGTAAAAAATCAATCAATCAATGCTCAAAATAGAAACGTAAGAGAATATGCTGATTAGCTTTATACACGCAAATGTAATGCTTTCATTTATAAGAAGAAGAAAAATATAGTTAGCGTATCATAGTTCTATTCTGTCTATGTGTGATTTGGTTGGTAATGTGTATGATTTTGTATTAATGCATGAAAATACAATATATAGTTCTGAATTATAATATATATATATATATATATATATATATATATATATATATATATATATATATATATTACAATGAAGCAGTAGTAAAAGAATAAATTAATAGGGTTAATAGAATTCAGTTTTCTAACACATTTAAAAAGTGTTAATTCACTAACCACTCGTTGAATGATGTGATCCTTGTTTGTAGATGTTCCGTATGTTCTATAAATAGACTAGTACTTTCGATAGGTCATCCTATCGTAATCGGACATGTATATTATTTTTCATTTTTGAGAAAATTCAAGTAACATTGCTTCATTGTAGTATATACATTATATACATAATATATATATATATATATATATATATGTGTGTGTGTGTGTGTGTGTGTGTGTGTGCGTGTGTGTAGTAATAAATTCTGTTATTATATATTTCGAGTAGGTTATATCCAATCATCTTTGGAATTGATTGCAAATTGATATAAGCTAATTGTTTACAGTCAGCGTCATCTAGTGAATGGTTGTTTTTGTGTAAGAGTGAAAGAATTTAGGTCACGCCGGCTGTAGTTGTAGACAGACATATCTCAGATTCATATATATATATATATATATATATATATATATATATATATATATATATATATATATATATATTGTTTAATTATCAAAATTACTTTTAAAGCTAATCTTATTTCTTCATCATCAATATGGTTTGAGAAATTATTCTGTATAATTGTTTGATTCATGTTTCCATCATATATATATATATATATATATATATATATATATATATATATATATATATATATATATATATATATATATATATATATATATATATATATATATATGCTAAAATTTATGCTCTATTTGGGGGAAAATTGCTTAATATCATAGATATTTATGATGCTACATTCTTCTGAAAATGGCCTGAATATTGGGTTGAAGCATGAAACAGAATGAAAATATTTTTGTTGACCCTCCCCACCACACACTTTATCCTCATATTTTATTTGAATATCTACTTATCTACATAATACACTTTGCAATATATATCTTATACTTCTGCATGTCCATCCATTAGTTTAACACGTCCACCTGTCAATACTTCATAAATAATGGATTGTTCCGTTTTTGCTCATGTGGAAAGATAAAGATACATATAAGAGTCGTTATTTGGTTTCACTGAGTAAAAGAAGTGAGATAACAGTGTTTAAAACTTGTTTTAGTGAAATAGTGTTGTAAAGTTGGCAATTTGTAATGTTTTCATTTGTACCCCATTACCTTTTGTAAGTAAATACCGGTCCTCATATTTTTATTGTTATTGCAATATAATTCTAAACTTGTTATGCTGAAATATCTAAGTATGTAATAGGGGAATTTTAAAGAATATTTCATTAACTTAGATCACGTCCCGAGCTTATTAAATCATTAACTTAATAATTACGAATCAAAAACTTCAAATAAAAATAACTGAAAATTTCACCTTTATTTCTAGTAAACTGAAACTGTGCTGCAGTTGAATTGATCATGTCTTCAAGTGTTACAATATAATTAATCATCAGTATGCATAATGAAATCAAATAAATATGTATATTAAAATATCTATCGTAATTAAAAATAAATGAAATGAATATAATATATATATATATATATATATATATATATATATATATATATATATATATAATCATGAATAACTGGAGCGCCACCCAAAAGTTTTGAACAGTAGTTGTCTTTTACACATGAATCTACACCGGAAAATTTTGCAGGAAATTGAATCGTTTATTGTGAATTTAATATTACAATTTAGACAAATAATTAAACGTAAAGACGAAAATCGATATTCCGTCAGCATTTAACCTCTATTGTATACAGGAATGAATGATAACTAAACAAAGTGAAAATGTTATCTTACACAGTAAATTTATGCAACTTATACAGTTATTTTAAATATCATGTCATCTTGAAAATGGCAGATTTATGGAGAAATAAGAAATATACGTTCTAAATAATAATAATAATAGTAATAATTCACTAATAAATCAGATTAACTTAAGTGAACAAAATAAACCCATGCCACAACGAACACTGATTCATATAAATTAAGCCAATATTTCACTTTTAAATTTATTTATATATATAAAGGAAAGTGTATGCGTGTTTGTGCTTGTGAGTATCCAAACATCTCCTCCGTTCACACTGATCCGA